AGAGGAATACTTTCATGTTTTAGATAAATAGGCGCCTACCTGTATAACAAGAGGAATACTTTTCATGATTTTAGATAAATAGGCGCCCACCTGTATAACAAGAGGAATACTTTCATGTTTTTAGATAAATAGGNTTTGTGTTTTCGGACAAAGAGGGGCAACTGTGAGCACGTGATTTTTGCTTCACGGAAACTACTCCAAAAGAAATCGAAAAAAATAAAACGAGTTACCTTCGGGTACAATTTTGAGAATTTGCGTGACATTTTGATAATTGTTCTGACCGTAAATGCTCACCTTGCTATAGTTAAAAATACAAAAATACATGTTGCATGCATTTAGGAATTAATGGTACATTTAGGAATTAATTAACCATAATTTGGTTAAAAGAAAATCACAAAAAATATGCATGTGTATTTCTTGTCATTGTGTGATTTTATTTAATGTTTAATTTGTGTGTTAATTATTATAGGTGTTAAATAATATGTGTAATTTTATTTTTGATTTTACAATTTATTTAGGATTTTTGTTTAATTTTGGTAATTAAAGAAAGAAGAAAAATGGGTGAAGTATCAAGGAAACTCGGATTGGGCCGGGTGAAACCAAAATTCAGGCCCAAGCCAATTACATTGACCCAGTCCAAACCAGGTCTTTTCAGAGACGCCCCCCAAACGATGCCGCATAGGGCATTCGATCTGAGTCGTCCATCAAATCTAATCTAACGATCCCATGGCTTTACCCGTCCCCGTACCCGACCCGTTGCCCAGTTCGAACCAACCCCCTACTTAAACCAAACGATGCCGTATTGTTTAGCTCCCTTAATCCTGGCCATTGATCTTGATTGATCCAACGGCCAGGATCTAATCTCCTACTCCATATATAAATCCCTCCTCTTATCCCACGCCCCCGAACCAAACCCCCTCTCCATCTCATGTTCATCATCGTCTCAGAGACGAACCCTTCAAACCCTAGCCTCCTTAGGACTCCCTCACCTGAAACCCGGTGGCAACAATGCCGTCGGCCACCGTCTTAACACCACAAGACCATCTGACCACCCTCTTTTCGAATCCGGTGACCGTTTGGCTCGAATCATCTCCTATCTTCTCGAATATTCATTTGAAGATTCGAGCCAAACGGAAACCTATCCCAGTCCACCCCAAATTCATACCACAACACCTCCTGACCTCCCTCACACCCTAAACGCCATTGGTTCCGTTCGAATCTGATCGGAGCTGGACGAATCCCAAATCAAACCACAAAGAACCCTAAAAGACCAAAAGTTGAGATCTGTCCAAATTAAAAGACGATGTGGGGTCTAATCAACTTTAGACGAAGTGTTCTCAGTTGAGAACACTGGATTAAGGTCCATTCTACCTCAAAAATGGTAGATTCTGAGTTCGAGCCTGGGTCAGTTTGATTTCGAGTCCCTGAGGTAGCTGCTCCCTTTCTTTTGTTCTTCTATGATTTTAATCTATTTTCAAGTTTAGTTTAGTTTATTTTTTGACTTTTCTGTCGAGTCTGTTGATCTCCAGACCTTTTATTTGGTTGAAACTTTCTTCTGTTCATTTGAATGTTCGTTAAACTATACAATCAATACGAACAAGTTCGTCGATTAGTTAGTTTCGTATAAAGTCCCGGTTTTGTCCAAATCCGCTGGAATCACCTATTAGCTTGTGTGTTTATTGATTGTTTGTTATCTGTTATAGATTGTATAGTCAGTTAAATAAGTGTCGTCAATTAATTTGTTTAAAAATTAGAGGAAATATAATAGTAGTTCATTGATGCTCTCCATGTATGTTTACCAGTTCCACACCTGCTATGCTAACTTATGAACCTGTTGAATATGTTCAGTTTTGTCTTTGAACTAGACTGCTCGTTCAGTCATTAATCCCATGTTCTTCATAGTTTGCCATAGAAGCCTGATTGTCACTGATTCATCATTTTCTCCCTGTTGATTGTTTGATTTAAGTTGATCAGGATTGGTTCCCAATTTGATCAACATATTTCATCTGATTGACACCCCTTTGTGATCTGATTTTAAGTTGAACTTAGGCTGAGAATCGGATATAGCTGTAGAAATCTAGTAGATCAATCAGAAATCAGTGTTAAGTTTAAGCTTATATAGTTGGTAAGTTCAGACAAGTAAGGCTTAGGGTAATACAGTAATATGCAAGGGTTAAGGGGTAATTTTTGGGAGTTTAATAGGATTTTAACAGTTTGTAAGCTTACGTTTGCCTAGTGGTCATTTGTTAACCTTAGTTTAATTGTCAGTGGGGTGCATAACATGAGAGCATGGGTTTATTTGAATATTATAACCCCTCCCATAACTCTTGATTTAAACAAACAGAGACAATACATGCTAGCATGGGGAGCAAAATAGTTTACATCAAGAAAAGGCACTTAGGCATGGGAAGTTAAGGGGCAGGGGCAAATATAGATCTGTTTTGGTTCGAGGCAAACCTTAGAGGTCTCTTGTGGGTTATAAATAGGCTCATTTAGAACAAAAAAGGGGGCTGAACACTGGGATTTCAGATTTTAAAAAAAAACAAAAACTGGGATGGTCTTTCAACCTTTAGAAGGTCAGTTTATTTTCAGAGCACATAGGCTGGATTTTTCACACAACAAGTCTAGAGAATAGAGTTGAATAGGCTGGCTTTTTTTACCCTAAAAAGCTAAGTAATCAGAAGGTCATTTCTAGGCTAAAACTTTAAGACACTTCACAGAGATATAGAGTGAGATTTGGCTGGAATTTGAACATAATTTCCAGAGATATTGAGGGTTTGAGGCTGAGCTTTACACTAAGAGCCTGGATTGTTTCTCTTTGAGCTTTCAAAAATCAGAGGCTACTTCCTTCTTGCATCTGGTTCCTTCTCTGCTTTGCCTGTGCTTGTTTTTTTGGTATTGCTGGGCTGCAAATTGGATTTCCTGCTTGGTTTTAAAAATATGTCACTGGTTTTTGTTGCTGTTGATTGCTGGTTTCTGTTGTTGTTGTTGCTGTGAATGCTACTGCTGCACTGATTATTCCTTTTCATCTTTTGGCTTTCCCAATACCAGGTACACAACTGATATACTGTCAATGTAAGCTGAAAGTTGAAACATGAATATAGAAATGAAGAGCTGAAGTTGCCTCTTTCGAATTTGCTTTAGTTGTATATTGAACATTAAGTTGTATATATAATAGTTCATGTCTTCTATTAGGATAATGAAGGTAGTTATCATGTATAATTAGACATCCACATATGGTAACTTAATGGCTCATCATCTGTGTATGCCGGTAGCTAGAAAAGAAGTGATGGTGTAGTAAGCAATATCTTGATTATTTCAGTTGTGTTTGTTGAGTAGCATATCTTCCAAACGTACGTTAGGCACTAAACTGTCCATTGCTAGATAATCTTACCTCATTTAGCAGGCTGCCTCATTATAACTTTCAACAATACCGTTAGAGTAGATAGCACAGGTTTACATTTCAGCCTTATAAATGTCGAGCCTGAGTCGAATGAACTAACCAGGCCCCTATCGGAAGAGAAGTGGCCCAGGTCCAGTCAATATTGTGTGCGTTGGGCCTGGGCCCATAATATCCAAACGACTGCCCATATGCGCGTTCATGTTTCGGATTTTGCGAATCATATTCGGAACCCAACTATAACTAACTCGTATGCATGTAAATAAAGTTGGACCCTTTTCTTCTTTCATTTTTAGAGACAAACTTAATAGAAAACATAGCCATTATAGGACGACCTTTAAAATAAAATGAGGCGCGCCTCGCCAAATAAATTACAAATCGTGGGGGCCCTCAATAAACACATAACCATTGGTTAGACTTTGGAGTTGGCCGTTTAGTGAATTTTCACGGCCTTTTTCTAAAATAACAACACGTTAGTCTCTTTAGGAGGCGTCTTAATTAATCTTACCTTCTTAAATACGGGTGTGCATTTATGTGACTCAAATCCAAATCTCAACGGAGTCGAAATGTGTCTCTAATCACAGGTACATTGATTGTGATGTGGTTCGAGATGCGTGTCCACGACGTTGCAAATTCCTTTTAAAAAATAATAATGAATGAGACGAGCCTCGACAAACAAGAATACTCAAAGTGCGGGGCCCTCAACGGATAGTTTTTTCGAATGCATAGATTTCGAGACAGGCCGCATAGCGAACTTTACGGCTTTTTCTCAAAATAACAACGCGTTAGTCTTTAGGCGCGTATTTAATAACGTTATTTTCCTAAACTTGGGTGCACATTTATGTGACCCAAATCCAAATCTCAACGAAGTCGAAACGTATCAAAAATTACGGGTACATTTATGTGGCACAATTCGAGATGCATTTTCACAACGTTGCAATTCTTTGATTAAAATAATGATAATGATAAAAGCGGTAAAAGAGTTATAATTTGCATATTAGTGCACAATTGTTAAAACCAGATAATCAAGCCGAATATGACAGTTGAGCGACCGTGCTAGAACCACGAAACTTGGGAATGCCTAACACCTTTTTCCTCGATTCGGGATTAAACTGGTGACTTGGGACACTCTAAATCTCCCAAGTGGCGACTCTGAAATAAATAAACAAATCCCGTTTCGATTGTCCTTTAATTGGAAAAACTCCTTCACCCCCGCGGGGGCGGAAAAAGGAGGTGTGATAGTGCCTAAAGGCGAAACTATAATCTTAAAGGTAACTTGCCTTCCTATATGAGAACAACATCTTCATTAAAATTATTCAGAAACTTAGAGGAATAAATAGGAAGATAAATTACATATCTTGCATTATAGTTTCGCCAGTACGCCCTTTAGCAACTCGTCTCAGGAGAAGAAGACAGAGAAAAAAACATATCTTGCATCTTCTCCTCCTTCTCTACGCCCAACTATGCAGCGGTTCATTCACTATACCTGGAATCATCACTATACTCCAATCAACTAACGAACTGGATATAAATAGACGTGGTTGTTCTATTGCCACTGGAAGGCATGTATAAGTATAAAGTCAACAATACCCTCAACTATAAATTTAATGACACTAAGCTCACACGTCGAAACTCTAGCTCAATATTCCATCAATAATGATCGAATTAAGCCAGTGATACCAAACCATAGATCCAATTAGATGAACCAAAAATCCACTGACAGTGTACCCAATCAGTTGCCCGATTGAAGAACTCACTCCACACAAGCTTTGCATGTCACTGGCAAGAGAAGGATGGCTTATACTGTTCTCTGTGACACAGGCATCAATAGTAACATCTGCTATTGCCTGCGTAGCACTACCACCCATCAGGCACAACAAAGCAGATGCAAGTTGTAAGTTGTGGCCGAACGACAGACTGAGCATGGCAAAAGTACCAAGAAAACCTAAAGAAAAAAGGGAGGCAAGTCAAAATTCTCGTCTGTCTGTTATTTGACAACTCGACATCTGAAATTAGATAAAGTAAATTCTTTAAACCAACTACAAAGAAGCAAGATATTTCTACATTCTAGAAAAGATAATTAATCAGTCACTCAAAGATGACTCAATACCAAACTAATGGGGATCAATGATATGAATGATCTATATCCGTTCCACTCTATTTAGGATTTTTTTGTTTCAATACCATATAATATGTCTTTTCTATAGTACAGATGCACCAAGAAATACAATGTCATTTTTAGCAGAAGCACAACAACTTATAGAAATGTATATTTGCGATGATCACAATGAGCAATCAAATATTTTAGAATTCAAAATAGATATAAGCTGGTTTACAAAACAATGACAACAAATATCATCTTGCTCACCCTTTCGAATTTCCCTCTATGTCTATATGTGCATATCCAAAAGAAGCTACAATGAAAAGGTAAATCAGAGACAGTGCCGTTGGATAACACCATACAAATTCTTCCATCTCATAGTGATATCATCTTATTATTACTAATGCATTGGTTCTAGAGGTAGACAAGCTACCAGACGTAGACCAACTACTGGAGAATTAAGTATATAGCTTACATCTAGTATGAATAAGTCGAACTCTTCACAATTGCAGAACCAAGATCAACTTGAAAAAATAGAAAATATTAGAATCAAAGTAGGTTAAATCCATAATCACTGAACAAAGTAGCATGTCCTTGTCAAAAAGTAACTGATATTTCCTACCATAAGTGGACCAGAACAATAGCTAGCACGTGCTTTAAACTTATAATAGCATATTTAACCATAAATTTATGGTTTAAATTTAGTAATATAGAGCAAAGATTCCCAATTGAGTTCAATGATATTACTCATATACACTTAGGTTGTTCAATAGGTCATCACATAGACAATTAGGAATGATAAGTACAAGATCAAAGGCTCGAAATTACAATTCCAAATAAATAGTTACTTCAACCCCCTCATTCTTCAATCGCCCACTACACAAAAGAAAGGGCTAAAAAGGGTTTTAAAAGAATAAACTTTACAGCTTTATTGTATTGTAGCAAATAGCCATAAAAGATAGCTAAACAAAATAGTAGGAAAAAAGATACACATGCATAATCAGTAAATCAAAAAATTTCCTGTTTATGATTTAAGCACCTAATGTTCTTCTACTTAAACTGATGTTTATCTGGCTATGTAGAGGCATTGCCTATTCACCTAGTTGTTGTATTTGAACAAAGAATATCTTTGAAAGATAGGTCGGTATGCATCACATACTCATATAAGGGTGTATACTAAAGTAGAATATTCCTAATTCTATTCTTTCTTTCTTTCTTTTTTATCTAATTCTATTCGATGGTGGCTAAAAGTGTACTACTCTATCTAAACCAACATTCAATACTTTAATCTGGAATTATAGATCTCCCTTAAGAAGATAAATTAGGGTTGGCTGAAGTATTAATTTTGTCCTTTTTTTATTACCTTCATTTCAGATTATGTAATATCAAGAGTTCTAATCTAATCTAATGCACTTTTACTTGAAATAATTGTTTATCATAGCTCAAATAATAGAGGTTGATACATAAATCTGTGAGAACTGACAAGTGTATTGATTATGAATCTAACATAAGAGATTGAGTTTCATACCAGATATTTATGCAGTTCACACGGTGTGTGATCTATTTTGAACTTCTGAAAGTAGAAAGGCTATTCATGTCTTTTAAATCTTAACAGGTAAGACGAATGAGGTATAACGACCCAAGTCTCTATGTACAGTAAAGCAACAAAATTGCATTGGGTCTTTTAAGATATGAGGTGAACCTTACCTGAAACCTCCTCAAAATCTATCTCCAATTCTAGTAGTGTATTGAGAATTTCCAAATAGGAGTAAGCACAAAATTGGGATAGTTGGATAGGAAAACTCACTTTGAGAGCGTTATAAGATCTGGTCTTTCTTCACATATTCAAAACAGTTCTACTAAACACCAAAAACACCCCAATCAAAACTTTTTGCCACAAAACATAAAGGTGAACAGAAGAAGTAACTAAAACAATTACTACTTAGTAAAAATTGCGGAAAAGATCCTACAAAGCACCATGTCAAAATAGGGCGTGAAATCTAATGTTGATGGATCTAATGGGAGAAGCATAGAGACGATGCGAGATGAGAAAATTGGCGTTTAGAACTTAAATATTGGTTTACCAAGTGAGAAAGAATCTTTGAGAAGATAGATCATACAGCAAACGTGGTGGTTCAGATTAGAAGACAGGTAACCTCACATAAGTGAAATGTATGTAGTACCCCTATTTTGTATTGTAATACCAAGAAACGCATCGCAGAAAAAGAATCACGGGAATCAAATTGAAGCAGATTACCTGAGCTAAAACCCAATAATTGAACCCTAAGGAAACTTATGTGATTCCAGAGGCTACAATAGAGAAAGAGTGAGAACAATGCTCTGGAAACCTAACAGACCACCAAGAGTACAGATATGACCTGAAGCGTAGAGAATGTATATATAAGATGAAAATTTCCACCAGGAGTATTAACATCAGACAACTTATTAGTGAGATTCATCCTCATAAATGCCATATTCCAAATAGACCGGATACATATTACTTAAAAAGAAATAAACCTATCAGCAAGTTTCAACTGTTATGATACTATCTTATATTAACCATCATATTACTTTCATATTACTTTATGCGTGAGGTAGCTTCTAAAATAAGACATACCTGCACGATCAAATACAACAAAGATATTGTTAGAGTCTCTTTAATCCAACATGAAAAAGGAAAAAAAAAAAGATATGCGAACAGGCAAGCCCTTACAGATCCTGATCATTGTATTCACATTAGCACCATGTTGGGTATGTTCAACCTCTTAATCTGCTGCGGAAGGGAAGATCTCTTAATAATAGAGAAATACAGTCTGAACTCATGGCTCTATTGGAAGGTCATAAACTTAAATGAGCCTTTACACAACAAAAAAGTTTATGACTACTATCCAAGGTATAAAGTTCTCGATTGACAAAAGTGACATGTAAGATGGCTATTTCAAATAGATTTTACACACAATTTTACCTTCATATATAAAGAAGACAGTCAAACAGGATATGGTTTGTGGTTGGATTGGCAAGATATAAAAACTAATTCTTTAACTTAAAGAGCAAATTGATAAACTCTAAAATGTATGGTATTCCAATGATCCTTTACAGAAGCACTTGATGCCTCACTGGACCAGACTCAAGACTCAATATTCTTACAAGAAAGAAATATCCTTATTAAATGTGAAGCTGACAACTAATTCTGTATGCATTACGGCGTAGTCCAGCTAACATAGTCAAGAAAATTAGCAAAAAATAGTTTTTCTTCTAGCCTCTAAGTTAAAACAATTGCGAAAATAATTAATTATGTTATTTGGAGGACCCTTTCAATAAAATCCATGGTACAAAGCATTCCTATATTTACAGTTATTAGAATAAATAAACTAAAAGAAGGCTTTCCTATCCACCTCCACTCTAAAACACACATCAAGAACCTCCAACCATAAAGATCAAAGTAATTCTTTTTCTTTTGGGATGTATGGAATATTTGCTAGTTAGGGACTAAGAACTATCAAAGTAAAAGTCACAAGCAACAACTATATGCATACTAAAAAATGTTCAACTGAGAAAGCACTTGTAGCTTCAATACTCATCAATACATATAATCAGCAAAATGATATCCAAAATATTGATTCAACATGTTGATTTCTTAATGACTAAAGTCAATTTTAATAATTTTCTAATCCGTTGTATATTCTCTTATTACTCTTAGCAAGTAAAAATATTCACTTTATTAAGGTCAAACTTATTTGCTTCATAATAGTCCAACATGCTGCATATAGGGACCATAATGGTTAGATTCACTATATAAAATTTGATATGTATCCAGTCTATTACCATTACTCTAAACGTCATTGTATGTAGGTATAAATCCATTAGTCATTCTCATTATATAGATCATCTCTTGTAACACATGAAAGAAAATTAGACATAGGTGAATAGTAATCCTTTTCAAATAAAGTTCTTTGTTCATCAACACAACCATAGTGCCCTATGCATCAACCATTTCAAGAAATTAAGAAAACTAATTACCACAGACTTTTTTATAATAACTAACATCTAACGAATACACTCACAGTAATCATTGACGCAAAGATAGATCATCAAAGTCATTTAACGGGAAGAAAACACACCAACAAAACATATATGAAACTTGGGAATAGACTACTATTTAATAATTAAAAACTTCCACATCAAAAGTCAAGATTTTCAGCCACATTAGTGTGTGAAAATACCTAGGACACCAGAAATTTACCAATGAAAGTACTCTGTTTCTTTAATCAAAATCAAGTTGCTCCTTGGGCTCATTGTTTTTGACTCTCAATTGCCATTTAATACTAAAAGGTTGTTAAAAAAATTATTAAGACAGTAAAAATTTTAAGACACTTCTTTGATAAGAGCTTTAGAAACACCTTCACCAAATTGATGCTTCAGTCTGTTAAAATATTATGATTAACCTTATTTTTCTCCCATTATAACAGCCTTCAAATTGCAAAATTAACAAGTACGTGAAGCACCCAGGAAAGCACAAACCTTCAAAACTCATCAAGGTTAGAGTTTAAAAATGCAGTTTTACTACACGATTCTATTACAAAATTAAAAATCATGAAAAGTACCAAAAAAAAAGAGAAGGGAAAAGAAAAAATCAGAAAAGAAACAGATGAAGAGAACATGCAATAACCACTAAACTTCAGAATTAGCCAAAAGAATACAAAGGGGAAAAAAGAGAAAAAATGAGAGAAAAAGATATCAGGAACCATTAAATTTCAAAGCTAACAATAATGACCCAAAGAAAAAGAAGAACCAAGGAAAAAAAAATACATACAGCTACACTTTAGAGCGAGAAGACAAACATTTGCAATACAAGTTTTGAAAGAAATTGAATACTCAAAGCTGAACTCTGAATTTCAATTCATCTCCACAAAAAAAAAACAAAGAACGTTCTCCCAATTTCATTCATCAAAACCCTAACTCGAAAATTTTCGGATCTTCTTGAATATAGACAAAATCTGTCTTTAATTCAGTTTATTTTCATGAATTTGCGGTAAACCTCTATTGCCATTGATACAAAAAGAATTGTATATGGGTTGAAACAAATTGGAACAAAAAAAGGAGAAAAAACACATAGATATCAACAAAATTAATTTTAAAGAGTAAGAAATTTACCTGCAAGTTGAAGAGATTTGAGAAGACAGTAGAAAATCTGAGTAAGCTCTGAGTAAGCTCTGTAACTCCATTGTATACGATATATTAGAAGAGAAAAAAAGTGAAGCATACATGTGGGAGTAGCTTAAAAACTACACGTAGTATCTGGGGAGCACACAAAAGAGCATGTATAAAACTGTTGTGAAATAACTGAATTGCCCTCAAGCTTCTTTAAAAAGATTTGAAGCAGACATGTCGAAAGTCTTGCTCTTCTAAAGTATAGAAATAATAATATATAATACAATAAAGTAATATAACCTTACTATTAATAAAGTTGACAGATTCACCCCTAACCTATGTCGAATGGGATCGTTCTTTTAAACCTGCATTTGGGTACCCACTACCACCTTCTCATTTACCAGCAGCAAGGCCAATATACCATCAAAAATCATAGAAACCCACTCTCTTCATCAATAACCCCTCCTTTTTCATCAAAAAGAAGAGGGAAGAAATGTATTCTATGAGAAAAAGAATTCCTGATGTACTTGTACTAAATGAGAAAGAACTAAAGAAATCGCAAAGTTACACAAATTTTGGACCTGATTTTGACATGAAAAGTAGCGACCCAGCTAAAAATGTTGATTGTGGAGGTACTGCAGCTTTTGCCTCATGTCTTTCTGCTCAAAAAATATTTAGAAACAAAAGTTTACTAATTTCCTGCTACAACCAAAAATGCACACTTTTATATAGAGACCAGTCTAAGGGTACGTTGAGCTTTTCTTGTCATGAAAATATAGGTAGTATGTGTTCTTGATAACCTCATTAGGGACAAAAAATAAAACGAATGTTTTACACCCAAATTTCTCCAATATCACCATAATATTAAAGTGCGATGCAGATGGTGCCGGAGCTGTCAAAATTCTCGGAGCAAATCAGAGAACTTATCTCTATACATAAATATTACGTACATGATTTGCTTAATAGATTTGGTAAATATAAATTCAAAAGGTAATTTTGAAGCAGCTGAGCCAAAACCACTTCACTCAAGTTGTTGTTAGCATTGCAGATGCTTTAGTATATAACACGTAGTGAAAAGTGTAGTGACGTTATATATATGGGTAAAATTGGTTAGTTACAGTTGGCGGAATGATGAGATGACACGTGGAACCAAAGATAGGTAAAATGTGAGTCAGCTGGCACCTGACGCGAGTGTGTGACTGGTGTTAGACGGATCCCGAAGGCAGAGTAGCTGACAATAAAGATTCAATGATTTGATATCGAGTAGCATTTAATGAGCAACCGTTATAAAGAATATAAACATTCAAGAGCAATTGTTATGCATATGTCAATGACAATTTTATTTTCATTCAAGAGGAACTTGATTTGAGGATCTTGTCTCCCTCAATAGGGCTATAAATAGGAGGATTAACAACCATTGTAGGGACATAAAACATTCTTCACACAAAAGCTATAATCTATTCTCTTATTACGCTCAATTGAAGCACTTAAACGTTGCATTTAGTCTTGTCATCGGAAAGGATACGTCCTTAGTCAAACTTGTTATCTTCTTTAATTTCATTTGGCAATCTTTTTTTCGTCCTAATTTATTTATCATCCTTGGGTCAAATTGATTCGCTTATCTATAAACCATGTTATAAATTCAATATACCATTTTACGGATAAACAGTTTGGCACCCACCGTGGGGAATAGGCAACTGCATAATTACTTTGATCCATTCGTTTTTTTATTAACAAGTTTTGAATTTTTCCAGAGTAAAAATCAGTTATGGCAGCTAACAATGTCAACGATATTTATAATGTTGGAGCATAAGATGAATGGAAAGATGTGTTTCAACATGATGATTCAGCCAACGAAACTTGCAACGAAGGGGATGAAGCAACCTTGGTTTGTGAAGGATAATATCCTCAGCATGTGCGGGGCCTAACTCCTGATGATGCAGAGGATGAGCATGTTGTCGAAACACTCAAAATCTTGAGAGAACAATAAAAGACGATTATGGATCACCTCTCGAAGCAAGATCGTATGATGACAGAATTAAAGTAGGCATTATCAGGTGCTTCCAATAACGTTAATGGAAGGGCTCTGGTTCCTCCCAATGTTCCCACAAATCAGATGGTTCAAAGGACCAATAACAACACGCCGAGGGATGAAGTCGATTTTGACAAAATGGGAGGGACCAGTAGCGGATCTGGGAACAATAACTTGAATGATCCTTTCAAAACCGAGATCATGAATTCATGAGAGAAATGAATGAATGAATGAATGAATGAATGAATGGACCATAATGCGAATGAGTTACATGCTCGGATGGATCAGATCCCAGGTGCGCCGCTAGTGCTAAAAGGGACAGATTCGAGGAAGTATACACAGTTGTCGTTTAAACCAAGCACGGTACCAAAGTTAATCCCAAAGAGGTTTAAGATAACGGATATTCCGAAGTATGATGGGACATCGAACCCATAGGAGCACATCACGACCTACACCACAATAGTAAAAGGAAACGACTTGGCTTAGCACGAGATAGAGTTAGTTTTGCTGAAAAAGTTTGGTGAAACCCTCACGAAGGGTGTCGTGACATGGTATTCTCTCTTACCCGAGCATTCAATCAATTCTTTTGAAATACTCGCAGATTCGTTCGCCAAAACTGATGTTGGAGCAAGAAAGTTCTAGGCCAAAAAAGCAGATATATTCAGAATTTCTCAAGGAGAATTCAAGCTGTTGCAGGAATTCGTAATCCAGATCCAAAAGAAAGGATGTTGCTACCAACGATTCCAGATGAGTGGGAAGTAGAGGAATTCATGAAGGGTTTCAATACACTAAATTCTGATGCCTCCCAAAAATTAAAGGAGAGCCTGCTCGAGTTTCAAGCAACCACATGGGTGTGAGCACGTGATTTTTGCCTTATATGAATTACTCCCATAAGTTCAAAACAAAATAATTTCTTTCAGTGTTTGCAGTTTTGGGGATTTTCGTGGCATTTTCTGTTAATTGTTTGCACTTTGTTTGTGCATTCTAATTAGTGAAAAATACAAAAAAAATATGTTGCATTTGCATTTAGGGTTAATTTTACATTTTAGTATCAATTAGAAAATTAATTGTTGCATAAAATGGAAAAATCACAGGAAATTTAGTTTAATTTGCACTTTTAATTTTAGCTTTGATTTTGAGTAGTGTTTTTTTGTTTTTTTTTGTTTTTTGTTAATTTGTTTTAAATTAATTGTGTTAATTATCATTCTAGGTTTAATTATTTTTTTAGTTTTAGGAATTAATTTTGATTTTAATTAATTTTCGAAAAAAAGAAGAAGAGAAAAAGGAAAAGGAATTTTGAATTAAGTTNTTAGTTTAATTTGCACTTTTATTTTTGCTTTGATGTTGAGTAGCTTTCTTTTGTTAATTTGTTTTTAATTAATTGTGTCAATTGTCATTTTAGGTTTAATTAATTTTGTTTAGTTCTAGAAATTAATTCTGATTTTAATTAATTTTCGAAAAAAAGAAGAAGAGAAAAAGGAAAAGGAATTTTGAATTAAGTTTGTATTTTTGGGCCAGCTTTCAAATTAAACCCCCAGGCCCAAATTTTCCAGTGCAAAACCCGGCTGACCCAGTCCATAACCCAGCCCCTGACCCGTCCAACCCGATCCGGTCACCCTTTCATCCGAAATGACATCATTTTGTTATTATTTGATCTCGACCGTCGAGGTTAGTTGATCTGACGGTCCAGAACTAACTTCATTTTAATATATAACGGTCCTAAGAGACTATTACCCCCTACCCCTCACTTGTCTCTCTCAATACCCATCCCAGAGACCAACGAGAAACCCTAGAAGCCGCCGGTGGATTCCCACCGCCATTGGTGGCGGCGCCACCTCAAATCGACACTAGACTTACATTAAATGTTCCCCTCTACCACCCCATCCCAGATATCCGTTCAATTTCCTTCAAATATACTCAGAACCTCTCGAATCTCAGTTTATAGGTGGAAACGTTAGCACCGCCACAGTTTCTCCGGTGGCGGCGCCTCCTTTGTTCAACCCCAAATTGACACCCTAGGACCGTCTTCCCTCCCTCATTCCAAATCCTCACTCTGTGTCCTTCAAATCACCCAGGAACTGTTCGAATCTTAAATCCAAATAAACCCCTGATTCCCAAGAGGTCCCCGGTTCATTTCTGCTTGAAGATTTGGGTCCGTTTCGAGGTTATTCGTGTGTTCTTATTAAGAACACACGATTAACATCGTAGCAGGCCAGAAAATCCGAAGAGTTTGAAGGTTCAAATCCCATTCCTCAAATCGCTCGAGTCCTAGTAGGTAATCTCGTTCTGTCTTCTTTGTTCAAATTAGTTTTCTTTCTGTTTTTCCCTCTACCCATTTCTCTAATTCTTCTTTTCTCCAGAATTCTTATTTATTTTTTATTTTTATTTCTTGTTTCCATTCAGTCATGCATGTTTAGTTTTGGAAATTGTTTTAGTCATTTTGGTTAGTGTCTGTTTAGCAAGACATTTGGTTAACTGGTTAATTGTGAAAATGTTCTTTGGGCCTACGATTTGTTTGAGCTTGCATATTGTATTCTGCTCATTAGTTCTACCTATAGTTCTTGTGTTGGGGCTTTTGAATTAGAATTGGGGCCGAGGGGAAGGGATTGGTCCAGTTTTGAATTGGAACCTTGGGTCAAATTGACCCCAACTCATATGAGTTCAATGTAAAAACAAGGCAATTAAGGGTTAGTTTGGGTAAAAGACATAGGGAATCTCTGAGTTAACTGCTAAGAAGTTGCCTAGAAGTTGCAGAATGTACTAACTTGATCCACAAGTCAGTAATTCGGGGCCCTTTTAAGCAAAAGGAAAAGCTGAAAAGGACTAAAATGAAATAAACTAAACCCCAAAGCTGCCCTAGTGACTTGCCTATAAAGGCATAGTTACTTGTAGCTCAATTCAGATTTTTAAGAGCTAAGAATCCTAAAAAATCCTCAACGGCTGAAAACTCTAGGAAAAACACTGTTCCATTGAATTTTAGCTTGATAATCTGAAATCCTTCTCCTCTTGAATCAATTTCCTGAAGGTTTGGACTTCGAAATGGCTTGAGATTTAGTCATTAAGGCTAGGTTTTGGTGTTTGCTTGTTTGAAAGTGTGTTTGATACTGGAATCT